AGGACATAAGGGGAGGATCTTACAAACCAGGTTTCTGCAAGTTGGAAGACATCTGGTTTTGGACAAATCTGTTTAATAAAACCAATGTATTTCACCCTTACGTACCTGTAGCAATTATTATGGAATTTGTTGTAAGAAGAGAGGGTAATCAGACCTCCCCATGCTGCAGATAAGGAGAAGAAAATCTGAGTGGCAGCATCCTTCCAAACCTAAGTAAGACAAACAGGAGAGGAAACAGCATCAGCTTCAGGAAAGAATGTTGGAGTGCTAGAAAGTTCAATAACACTGTTAAATGTTACTGTGAGGGGATTTACACTTAAGTACTTTAAATGAGCTTTAAACTAAAGGGGTGTCAATAGAATATTTAAAAGCAGAACCATTCCATGAAATACATCATGCCCATTTGATGAGGAGTGCTGTTCTTGTTGAGCCCATACAAAAGGACCCTATTAACTTTGCTGTGTATGGAAGACACAAATATCCAAACTACATTGTTTTACACATATCAGTCCAAATACATTCAGAAGAAAAAAATAAATAAAAGTACAAATCGAGAGGAAAAATCTGCGCCAGATGCTGATGTTTTATCTGCCAGTGACCCTAAATAATACTTCATCCACATAAAGAACAAGTTTCCACAGATGACTATATCACCCCTGAACACACAAAATGCTTGCAGCAGACACCAAGAGATGACTCGTTCACCCCAGCAGTCAGAAGTGCAACAGTGCAAACCCACCATGGCATCAATCAGCTTCTCCCACTTTGGCGTGATGAAGTACCAGATTCCATCTCCAGCTCCAGGGAGAGTTACTCCTCTTATGAGAAGGATGATGAGAACTACGTAGGGGAATGTAGCTGTGAAATACACCACCTGGACAGGACCAAAGGAAAGGTTGCTGAAAGGGCTTATTTGGATAAGAAGAGAGGAAGGGAAGATATAAGTGCTACACTGTTGCCTGAAGAAAGCAATTACTCAGGCTCAGAGACAACAGTCAGGGGATAAACTAGGAAAACAACCGGGTTATTTCCCAGGAAATCTGAAATTTTACAGCTCTTCTTGCTGCTGGAAACAGGAATAACACCAATAGAAACAAAGGTAAGAGCTGGGGTTCTAGGCAGAGAGGGGAAAAGGGTTCCTCTCTCAGTCTGGAGAGGAGCAATAAGAATTTACAGCTAAAAGAAAATATCGCTTTTGATCCTTGCCCAGAGCAAACTATCAGAGTTCAATGGAAGTTAAATGAGCAGTGACATTCAATAACACTTAAATTTCTGTGGGTTTTTTCCCTATATATTTCCATACATTTTTCTGTGTTTAACTAAAAAAAAAGGCTTAGTAAGTTTTATTACTGTTTGTATCTCTGAATAATTGCATATCACCACGGTGATATTTATGGTTCAAATGCAAAAAAGGAGAATGGGTGAAATGATCCAGATAGAACTAATCACCATGATATCTAAATACACAACAGTGGTTGTGTGTCTAATGTCTTAATAATGTCTCAATAATTATCTAGTAGAGGGATATGACCACAAAATCTCTGTGGTCAGATAAGATGACTGGATTATGGCCAGTTAAGGTCTACACTTGACACAGAAGCATTTCAAATATTTTTCACATTAACCTCTGAGTTTAAACAAACCAGAATCATAACATATTGGGCAATCATATCATAAAATGTTTTGAGTTGGAAGCGACCTTAAAGCCCACCTCATTCCAACCCCCTCCCATAGGCAAGGACACTTTCTACTGGACCAGGTTGCTCAGAGCCCCATCCAGCCTGGCCTTGGACACTTCCAGGGATGGGGCAGCCACAGCTCCTCTGGGCAACCTGTGCCAGGGCCTCCCCACCCTCACAGTAAAGAGTTTCTTCCTAAAATCTCATCTAAACCCACCCTCTTCCAGTTTGAAGCCCTTATCTTTGTCCTGTCACTCCATGTCCTTCTCCAAAGTCCCTCTCCAGCTCTCATGGAGCCACTTTAGGAAAGGGTTCTAAGGTCTCTTTCGGAGCCTTCTCTTCTCCAGGCTGAACACCCACAGCTCTCACATCTTCATGGAGAGATTCTCCAGCCCTCTGAGCCATCTTTGTGGCCTCCTCTGGGCTCACTCCAACAGGTCCATGTCCTTCTTAGGCCCCAGAGCTGGACACACCACTGCAGATGCATCCTCACCAGGGCTGAGGGGGAGAATCCCCTCCCTCAGCCTGTGGTCTGAGCTAAAGTGACTTTTGAAACTGTTTCTTTAAACCTCCTCTTGGCTGTTTCAAGAGGTGTTTCAACAAGTTGCCCTTACGAATTTTTTTGCAGTCTAATCTCTGTATAAATACAGGATTTCTACCTCTGGCTCCAAGAGCTCAGATTTTTTTTTCTCTCTGACATCAAAGAATTAATATGTTTTTGGCCACTAAGATACGTCGAAGAGTCAATATTTTTCTTGGCCACTAAGACACACTAGAAGAAATATCTATTGCCATATGCAAACCAAAGTTATCATCCAGTCTCTCATCTTTCATGAAACATTTTTTCCTATCGCAGTAAGGTGGTGGGGAAAAAAAAAAGTCTCGATTTTCCCCTGGCACTCTGAGTCTCTGGATTTTTAATTACCAAGTTACCTCCCAACAGATGATATCAGCTTCCAGAAGCAAAGAGGTGGCCTGGAATCACAAACTCTGTGGTCAGCTCTGGCAAGTTCGTGCCTGCACTTCCACTGTCTTTATCCCATGAAATATCTAGTTATTCTGCTCCAGCTTTTTTTTTTTTGAAGTTCAGTTCTGATTTTAAAACATGTTACTTAACATCCAAATTTACATCAAAATTTCCTGAATTCCAGTGAAATGCGAGATGACTGCACTATTTTAATAAACACCACAGAGAATAAGGAAGGCTGGAAGGTCCCCTTTTTGCCATCCCACTGCTGAGTGCAGTTCAAGAGCTCCTTTTAGACTGAT